GTAAATAAGCCTTGTTAGCTTTTTTTAACAAAAAAAAATACAGTGAAACTTGTTTAACATTTTTCAATGTTTGCATCAAACTAAACACTGACAAAGTTCCCCCTCCCCTCCTAGCTCATCATGAGAGCTCATCTCCACAAAGTGTAGAGGTGCAGGCGGCTTTTCTCTTCATTCAGCTGTAAAACAAGAGCAAACTGCACGGAGCACAACTACTTTTAGGGTGTGTATCATTAGGGCTTTATGCTTTGTGAGTTACACCTTGGGACGGAGCAGATTGAGGGGCAAATGATGCACATTTTTTGGGAGTATTATCATCCGCAATCCATTCATAGTGAATCAGGCCTTTATAGTCTTCTTATGTCTCAAAGGAATGTGAAATACTTCCTGCATGGCTCTGACCTGTCGTTGTCTATCCCAAGCCTGCAGGATTTTTTTCCGCAGCCACTGACATCTTGCAGTCACTATAGCGATATGCCCCAAGACTCTCTCTGCCCTCTGTACACAAAATGAGACAAAGAGATGGAAAAAATCATCTTAGCTGCATAAAAGTCATCTGATCATTTTTATCACCTGATCTTGAAGACCCACCTCGCCCAGAATAAACTCAACATCACAGAACTGACGGTTCTCCCACAGTTTTCCGTAGTCTTCGTGAAGAGTACACTTGGGGTAGCAAGAGAACTGAAAGAAGGAAATCATTATTTGCAAAAGGTACATAACATTTCTCTTCAAATACATTTGACTTCAGGTTTCAAAAGATTGTTTTTTTTTTTAATTTAGACAGGAGAGGCTTTTGACCACAATGTCCAAATAATGAAAACTATGGATTTATTGGATGCTTACCTGGAACCTGTACATCTCTCCACTGCGCACATTGTTGTCCACGGTTCCTCCAAAGATATACATGGCATCTTGAATCACAGCAGCAGCATGAAAGAGTCTACCACTGGGCATCTGAGGAGACATTCAGCTTATGACCTTCAGAGAGCAAGACAACTGTTCAAATTGCTGTTGAGTAATAGGATGCAGTTAGATGAGATAAAGCAGCGTTCAGTCAGGAGGGTTAGCAAGCAGCAAATTGTTCTTTTAGGATTCAGCAAGTCACCAAAACAAATGTGTTATTTCATTAAACTTCTTTTATTCACTCACAGTAGCTTGTAAACACTTTGTCTCTACCTCGCTGTCTACGCTGGGGTGGATCACCTCCCAGGACTGAGAATCCACATCGTAGCAGTGCAGCTCGTTCGGCAAAGTGTTGTCAGCAGCACCTCCAACTACATACAGATGTCGGTCAAAGGCAACCATAGTGTGGCCGTAGCGTCTCTGAGGAGGTGGAGGGGAGCCTCGCAGTAAGTGTTCGGTTGGGATACGTGTCCACCTGAGAAGATGGAGTAGTGATTAGTCCCATGTAAAACAGGGTGAGTGACAGAGGTAAGTCAGACAGACGGATGCACTCACATGTGGCCCTTAAACTCAAACTGGAAGAGGTTGTTGGTGATCTTTGCTCCACTCTGACCAGAAAACACAAACATCTTGTCCCTGCATACAGCTACAGGGAAGTTACAGCAAGATGGAGGAATCTCACCACTCTGGTCGATCTGTTTGAAACAAAGACGAAAACAATGAAGTTAACACTTATATAGATACAGAACATTGTTGAGTGTTGCTTAAAATATGTTCTTCAGGTTCTTATATATATATAAAAAAATATTGTACTGGCCTCCTCCCAACATGCGTGTTCTCGATCCTGCAGATTGATGGTCCACATGTCGTTCAACCTGCAGAGTGGAAAATATCTGTCAGTAATACTGAAAAAATCTATTTGAAATTGTGACAACGTGAATTAAAGTCACACATACCTGGCATTCCCATCATAGCCTGCAAATATCCACAGTTTATCACTATAGACTGTGGCCCCATGTGCAGACCTCGCTACTGGCAAGCTGAAACAGAGACAAAGCACAGGATAGCTGGATTTTGACATTTACAAGTTAGGTTTAAGGTTCTTGAAAGGAACACAAAAGAAACTACCTTAAAACAAAAGTGAATTCAGCCAAAGACTAGCTTTAAAGAGCCCATATTATGCCCTTTTTGGGGTTTGTATATTTAATCTATGTACCTACTTTTGTACGTTCACAATAGATAAAGTCAGAAAAAAGTGTCTGTTTTCATGTCCTGCTCCTCCTTGCTCCCTCTACGCTCTGAGTCCGTCAGCTGCACTCTGCTGAGCCCACACTGTTAGACCCCACGTGGGCCAAGTCTGCTCTGATTGGTCTGCCGATCCCCTCTGTTGTTATTGGTCAGTTGCTCAGGAAGCGTCTCGGAAATTTCAACATGAGCTGCTGGGCTTGCCACAACGAGCCAATGGACTTAGATCAGTGATCTCACACTGACAATGACGTCGCACTGACAAATTTTATCGAGGGGGGCTAGAACCGAGCGTTACATGCAGCTAATGCTACAGCTAACAGGAGGACGTAGGAGAAGCCGTGTTTCCGCGGACTTTGAATTTTTGCACATAGATGTGCCTAAACATGCACAGGACACTTGGAAAACACACTAAAGAGCATATAAAACCAGAAAAGGCATAATATGGGACCTTTAAAACAATTGATTGGGAAATCTATCCCAGAAACACAACTCAAGCATCTTAAAGAATACATTACCTCCCCTCCACTTTCCATTCAGTCCACTGCCCCGTTGCAAACTTGTACTCAAAAAGATCATTTTTGTTTTTCAGGTTGGAGTTTGAGTAGATGTCTCCAGTATACCCACCTTCAGGAAGAAACATTTTAGCATCAACATCGGTTTAAAATATGTTGCATGAATGACGTCTGATCACAAAGAAGAAAAGCATTACAATAGTTACCAAAAACAAACATGCTGCTGCCATAGACAACAGCTGAATGGTGATATCTGGGAGCAGGTGGAGTTCCAGTGGTGAAAGCTCTGCAGTGAATAACATACACAGAAAATGAATCACACTGCACAGTCTTCTATATTACGTTTATTTGATTGCATTTCTGTATTCTTACCGACACCATGAGCAGTCCTTTACATCGAAACGTAGCAGGTCATTCAACATGTTTTTCCTATTAGATGACATACATTAAGAAAGCATGTAGTGCAAGTTCAGCAGCAGAGAATAACTCAAACATGGCTGTCCAGTGGAGACTCACCCATTGTCTCCCCCAAACACGTAAATGGCATCTCTGTATGCAACAACGGTGTGCTTACTGCGCCTGAAAAGAGCAGGATATTTTCAGAGTGAATTAAGGAAGGCAGATAAAGTCAGATTAGGTTGTTTTAAGTGTGTGTCGTGGTGTTTACCTTGCACCAACAAACTCATCACACGGAGGGAGTCTTCTCCAGCGGTGAACAGTCTCAAAGGGGCCAAAGTTGAGCGTCAAATATTCCACGCTGTCGGAGCAACTGTGGTCAAAATCAACACTCGGGGCGACTTTGGTTGATCTGCAGGACATTGTTGCTAACTCATCCAGCTGAATCACAGTCCTCAGGGCAACCCATCTGCAGAGGCGTACACCGGTGACGCCATCGTCAGTGCAATCCTCCAACGTAGGAACTTACTGGAGGGTTTCTGATCCCCTGCTTATTTAATTGCCTGTTCCTGGTATTTCCTATCTGAATTAATCCAAAATCCGCTTGATTTACTTCAGAGGATTATGGACTACCGGCTAACAGTTAACTCATCGCGATGCTAAGAATGATAACTAGCCTAAGAGCTAGCTCGCGACGTAGCTTCTTCGTGCCACTTCAATGCTGCAAACAAAAAAACAACATTTAGCACCTGGCGAGAGATTATTAACGGACCGTATTGTAACACTGAAATGTTTGTTTCATCCGGTTACTTACTTACGTTACAATGAAAACTAAATTGCTGGTACCACAACGAGCTACGAGCCGTGAATTAGCAAAACAAAACAAGCGCTGTCAGTAAAGAGCAGTCTGCCAACCACGCCCCCCGACTGCGAGAAACTACGTCACTTCCTGTTACGCAAGAAATATATAAATACAAAACTTAAATTTGACAAAATACTTAAAAAAAACAAACTATAATACACTTTATTAATCCTTATTGCGTATTGCTCTGCACCTGTATGATTCCAGAGGATTTCATTGTTCTATTTTTATTCTTGTTCTTTGATATACACAGATTGTCACTGAATATTTAGACTTCAGTGAATAAAATATTTTCACCAGTTTTAAAGCATGTGCATAAATACCAAAGTTAATGCTTTAAAGAGTACTGAGAACTAAAATTAGCCCAAATAAAAAATAAAAATGGAAAAAAAAGTCCCTTGTGAGGCAAAAGGGTTGTCCATATTGTCATTAATGTTTGCATAGTTATTGGCTACGACTTCAGAACCCTGCTACAGTGCATGCTGGTGGACTTACTAGAGAAGAAATGTAACTAAAATATTGTAAACTTTTTCTTTTTGACTTGTCAGATGTCTGCTTTTAAAAGTCAAATGCCATAAGCAGAAAACAAACTTCAGAGCGCCTGCGAGGAACTTCGGTTTTCGACTGTTTGGCGACCCCTGTGGCCAAAGAGATACCTCTCATCTCTTTGATGATTTCATCTTTCTCATCTTGTTTTCTTAAAAAAAATTAAATATGTCACTCATCAGAAGTTTTGCCATGGACAATGGAAACAAATAGAAAAGTTTCATGTGTAAAAAAATAGACTATAGATTAACTTTATTGATCCCAAACTGGTAAATTGTGGTGTGATTTTACAGCAGCAGGTTATCAGAGCATTTCCTTATGAATAACTTGGCTCAGCTAATATTTTTATTTTATTTTATTTTATAGTTTCTAAAATAAATTATGCTCCAACAGTCACTGACAACACTGGTTTACATACCAAAGAATTGGATGTTTTTTTTGGACAGTTTCTTCTCTATGAGAACTCATTCAAACATGTTTAGATGTCATATTATTATATTAACAGTAATAAGGATGAAACTCACCGTCAGAGATATAGAGGAAAATTCCGTTTTATGAATCAGACATAACATTTCATATGGGAAATAGTACATGTAATTTTCATTTTATTTCATTTCTGAGTATCTAAAGATGATCACATATTGCCAGGAGAAACAGGGAGGTGTATGAAGGACAAAATCAGACACTTACAATTATGGAAGAATCAGTCCATGAATTACGACAGTAAATATGTTAGATGTAAAGAAATACAGACTAAACACATATGAAGGTAATTCAACAAAAAATGAAAGAATTAGATAGATAAAAGATTACATATAACAAATAATATTGATGCTATTTTCAATTTGAATCTTGCGGGCTATGATAACGGTCTGTGCAAACACCCTTGGGTGTTGTTTAACACCAGACAAGTCAGACAAGAGTGAATCCTTCAATGATTAATGTTATGATATCAGGGGAAAGAGGAGAAATGGCTACAACTGCAAAATGCCCCGGAGAAATGAACGTGTTAAAACTAAACGTATAATATATAATATACTGAAAAAACTGAGAAGATTCATAAGAAATATTATTGTAATTGATTGCATATGATGAACCTTTTTTTCTACTTGTTGATTTCTTGCAAGTCAATACAAAAATCATGTTGCTACAGAGAATGACATTTGATCACAATGTACATCTAAGGCTTCTGACCAGATGCAATCATGATTATTTTCACCTCTGCTTTCTCTCTTTTAAGTTAAACATCTGTCATCAGAAAAGTCTCTAATATTCACTTGTCTTAAGGGGCATAACATAAGGCCTTCACTGCAAGTCACTCATAACAAGCTAACATCTGAGAGTAAGAATATTTTAGGCTCCTTCTACGTTTATTAAAGTTGTTCCATATTTGTAGATTTAAGGCCTACAGTATCTTGTTTTTTTTGAAGCACTCATCAGATACACAACCGTAGGAAGTGCACAAATTTCAATGTGGATACAAAATGAGACATGATATAAGATTGAAATGTGACTTAGACCTTTTAATCTTTTACTCCAACAGCCACACAGTCAGATTCTTCTTCTTCTAACACAGTTTGTCAGAGATGAATTGGCCCCTCATGCTCTCAGGCCCATAGTCACCAGTTGATGATGTCTCGGATGTGGCCCCACAGCTTTGTGATCCACAGGTTGACCCCAAGTTCTGTTAGGTACTGTAGCTCCGGCATCAACATCTTGCGGCATAGCTTGCGATGTACCTTGTCCACGTTCTTCTTCAGGTTGTAGCCCATGATGGACTTTTCTCCAAAGGGCTGCCACGGCTGCATGGCTGTCTCCTGGATGCTGCTCGCTTCTACAGCACGGCCCCCCTCAATGCAGATGGACGCCATGTCCTCGTTCCTTCTCCTGAGCTCTATAACATCCTCAGCCATCCTCTCCCGTCCATATGCATTTACTTTCCTCCAAAAAGTCTGGTTGAAATGCTGGTACAGCTTCCAATCAACAGCGTTCCACTGCAGAGCCCTGGCCCTGAGCTCAGGGGTCAGTCTAGACACAGTAGAGCCTTTGCGGGCGTTAAGTTTGAAGAAGAGCAAGTCGTCCATCTCCCAGCAAAGGGCGTCCTTTAGCAGGATGAGGGATTCCTCAAAGTGTTCCACCAACATGACTAGCTGAAAACGCTCAGTGATGAATTTTATTCCCTCTTCTACACGCGGGTCGTTCAGCTCCAGAGTGTTGTCCTGTCCAAAGTCGAAGAACAGCAGATTCTTGAGGTAGAAAGAGTTAAAGCCTTCTTTATCAAAGTAGTAATTTGGGTCTCTTAAAAACTCGGTCAGCTTGTCATCACCTGGTATCTTCCATGTAAAAGGCACCAGCCGGCCAAAGTAGTGGAAGGAGGACTCAAACAGCTCAGCAGGGTCTCTGAGGATGGTGATGTAGGAAGTGTCCAGAGGTAGCAGCTTGGCAACTTCACTTGCATTGAAGCGCATGTGATTACAGATAACATTGAAGCACATTCCAGGTCTGTAGTCTTTAACCTGTGAGCGCTGAAAAACAGATGGATAGAAGAAGTCGTTTCTGCTGTCAGGGAAGGCAAATTTGAGCCGGTGCTTCTCTCCAAAGCGGAAAAGGATGTTGAGGAAGGTGCTGCTGGCTGTTTTGTGGGTCTTCATGAACATGATATCCACTTTGGGGGTACAGGTCTGGCCTGAGGTTTGTTGGGAGATGTTAGTGGTTGGTTTAGGGTGGAGCTGGGAGGGGCGGTGGGCACAGGAATAAGGCACTGGAAACCTACAGAGCGGAGAACAAGGAAAAAATGAAAATATACATGTGCTAATGGTGTTAATAATAATGTTTACTCCATAGACTGTATATTAAGATGGACAACGTGCCTCAACCTCCTCCGTTTTTACAAAAAAGAAGCCAAAAATTCCCTGTGACAGGCACTGACACTGTGCATTTGGAGCCAGAGTCTTTGCTGTAGGGATCTACTTGTATTGACATCATGTTCATCAGCTAACAAAAGCACACATTTAACTTACAGATAAACGGCATCAGGTCGGTATAGTCTACAACAGAAAAGATTCTTGTGTCAATCAGAAGCAAACTCTAAATTAATGCACAGTGGCCAGTTTAGAACCTTCTCAGAAAAAGAAGACAAAATCAGCATCTTGTCATCCCGAAAGACTCTGAGTTTAAGGAAAATGTATATTTTGTGTATTTTGATTTTTTAGTTCGACCCCTTTGTTAACATAGCGGAGGCAGGATTTATGTCATATACTACAGCCAGTCAGTTGAGGTAGATCTATATATACTTAAGGTAAGGTGTTGCACTGTCCATTCTTGATACAGCCTATGGTTTACTCTTACACCAACTAAGAAAACAAGAAATGTTGTAATGTATGAAAAAAAGACTAATTATTATTTTCATCGTTCGATGAATTAACTATTGCAACTCTTAACAACAAAAACTTCTTCGGAAAATTGACATAGATTTAGTTTTACATGCTATTTTTCAAAAGAAAGTATTCAAAGCAGTGTGATGAGTCTTACTCAGGCAGGCTGAGGTGGATCTGTGGAGTGGAGAGAGAGTAAAGCAGGATCATGCAGCTGGTCAGCAGGGTACCCAGGACCAGGCCTTTGCACATAGACCTCCACTGCCTCCCTTTCTTACCGGTCATGGTCCAGCAGGATTATCTTCAAAACACAAAATGATCAAGGTGGACATTTTCTACCTGCTGTATTGGTATTGTTTATTCTTAAGACAAATACAAGAAAACAAAGAAATCCAGATGATATATTTTTTTAACAGTTTTTTTAAAAGATTGTTCTTTGCTATTAAGATATAAACTTTGTTGACATAATGTCGACACTTGATTGATGATACTTGAATGATTTATTTAGACTGCTACATGGAGATAAGTGTAATGTGACTCTACAGATTACCTTTTTCTCTGGTTTCTGCTGAGTGGACACAAGCAAAGCATCTTAATGATATAGAGCAATTCAATGCAATACATAGGAACTTAAGAATCAGTACAATCATGTTTTTTTTTCCTCAAAAAGAAGAATGAGGTGTCAATTAAATTATGCTTGTTAAAGTATTGTATTGGTAATTTCATGATACACACTGCCCAAGGGGGGGGGGGGGGGGGAGTTTTGTGTTTGATGCTGGATCAATTATTTTTGTAAAACCTCACTGGCAGCTCCAAAAACTGTAATTCCTTTGGGAATGCAGTACTGCCATTTAACTGACTATAATTAAAAGTGGTAATAATTCTATACCTCCATGGAAGGTACATGCTGTTCACATGACACATTTCACAGCTAACATCTTCTCACTCGGCTGTCCACACAGGGCTGTAGTTTCAATTGGATGTTGGACTACAAAATGACACACTTGTGACTTGAAATGAACAACCATGTGTTTTTCAGTTGGCCCATTAGAATAAATAATGCATCTTTGTGGAAAGTGATCTTGCATTCTCCCCTGCAGACTGAGGTAAGACGAGCCACCGGCTGACTCAGCTCCACAGGTAATAAAGTAACACTCTCCACCTGGAATTTGAAGCATTATGTGACCCAACGTGACCTGAATACAGGTAGTATACATATATGTGCCGGGTCGGTGGCTATGTAAGGCACCCTTTTCAGCTTTTATTGTTGTATTATTGTTCCAGTTAAGTATTTGTGTTCTTTAAAGCTTCTGTGAGGATTTTAACAGGTTAAGGCCTGTAAGTAAGATCCCTTTCTTTCCAAAGCTTAATGCATTACGAAAAAGTGCCAGCTTTCAGACCTCCTCTTAAGGAAGGTTACAAAGTATGACTCAAAGTGAGTGAAGGGTTAAGTGTAAAGTATTATAATGGTATGTATCAGCTGGAGGCGGAACTTAGACTAGAGATGCACAAAAGGAAAGCCAATTGTGACAAAATAGAACTTTCTTACTCTTTATACATTGAAAGCGATGTAGGGGATCTGCCAACAGCTCATAGACACTGACTTAGACATGGAATATTATTGTTTTTAGATTGAACAATATCATCTAAAGAAGTGCATTTTGTCATCTCGGCTTTTATTCATTATTCTATTTAACTAGTGCATATTGTTTGTAAATCTTATGCTGTTAAAATACACCATTGAAGTCTAGATTACTGTAATTAAAATACATTAGACACCATTGTTTTGACAACAATAGCCTGCACCTAATGTGACGTGCCAAAATAATCTGTTATGTGAGTGACTCCAACATGCAAGTAAATGCTTCCACTGCAGACATTGTTTTCTCTGGTCTGATACCATTTGTGTTACAGCACATCAACATGTCATCCTACTCTCTCACTGAAATAGAAATGCTCCTTTTGATGTCACCATACATCTACTTTAAAATACATATAGTGCATTTTAGGTCATTATTTTTTTCCCCCAGTCAACAAAATGGTCTTCATTTTTTTTTTCTTCAAAAAATATGATGGCGATAGATGACCAGATCACACTGAGCTTAATATGAGCTTTTATTTTTTAAGTTATTATAATGTAGTGATGCAGAACAGATTTCTCACATAAATTACATCTATGAACGCAATTATATCGCCATTAATCACATTTTTAATCGCATGTTTGAAATGCCATTATTTCACATTTAAAAATATGTTAGGCATTTATTTTCAATTTGTGTACTGTCTTAAGCTGAGAGTACCTCACTTTCTGTTCTAAATAAAGTAAAGACCTTCTGGTAGATTGAAGATTATGACATTAACTTAACAGAAAAAGGAACCCGTTAGCTGAAATGTTTAATGTCATAAGGTTGATATTACTTTTGTCTCGTCAAATGAGCTGTCTAAAAGTTTTTTAAAGTGAAATGAGAAATTCGAAGATGTAGCAGTGTCGTTCTTTTCCATTACTGTGACTACAGAGAGACACTGCTGAGGCTTTTCCAGTGATCCTAAACGATCAAAATAGCAGCAAATACGCCTAAGGCTAATTTCCATCATGTAAATGATGGACCAATAATTTTTCATGTTTGTTTATGAAACAGAGTTTAGATGAATCCAAGCACAATAATGATAGCCACTTTACTTTGCAAACTAAATCAAGACATATCCCAGGCCCTAGTGTCACTTCTTAGTGTCCAGTGTCATTCATTTTGGATTTAGTCCAGTTTTTGGCTCTGGCCTAATATCTTGATAAATATCTTACAGGAACATGGTGGCTTGAGTTACTTGTATGTGCTATGAACTGCTGAGTTAAAATTTCTTATAATCAAAGCATTGTTCAAATACTCTCCCGAGTCCAAACACAGTTATAGGGCTGTTTCTGCCCTTTTGTCTGGACCCCATGAAGGGGCTATTATAGAGGCATGAGAGGGAGCTTTCTCTCTGCCATCAGAAGCCACTCTGTTGGGAGACATTTGAGGACGAGGCTAGTTGAGGTGGAACAGTTTAGAATTAAAACGCAGTGTGAATTTTTAGTGATATATTTTTCTCTCCTGCAGTAACACTCAGACCTGAAATCTAAATTAGATTAATTTCAGGAATTCCGCTTTTAGGCTAGACAGTTATGTATATTATTATTAGATAACACCCGGTAGATTATTACCTAAGGGTAAACACCAGTGAATTCAGAGTATAATGTAGCTGTACGTGTAGATAAGACTTACCCAATTGTCTAGTGTTTTAATATAATCAATAAAAAATATTGAAAAGTATAAAACTATAGAATTTACGAGAAAGCTAAATTCCAACAAAAACTTAATATTTTTTTCTTACCCTCATGCATGCATCCAATGAGAAATTAGAAGTGTTTCCTGTCCATCTGCATCTTCTTCCTTTGTATCCCCAGATCACTAGAACAAGCCGATCTCCCCCCTGCAGCGTTTCGTCGATCTGCTCTTAACATGCACATTCTGTTATTTGCACAGCACCGTCCCGCTCTCCTCTTATCACATGTCCAGTGCTACTAGGCTTAGTCATCTGGTTGCTACTCCTCTTTCTCTTCTCATGCACACCTGATGCCTTAGACTACCTGACTCCTCCCTCAACTTTCAACTCCAAAACTGATCTTGCTGAAAAAGCACTGCTGGGAGGCTCATCTAGCCACCTGTGACGTCAGGCTCGCTGTCAGGGGATGAATATTTGTCACTGAATGTAAAAAAAAAAAAAAGGAGGGGTGGAGGGGACTGTATAGTCCCTGTTCTGTCTTCATACAGAGGGCCATTGAGTGTGGACACTGGAGTCTGAGCTGCAGGCTAACAGGAGGGGTGGAAAACAACATAAAAAGAACAAATGCAGAGAGCCTGAGCACAAAGAACTTAATTGTACCACTTGATCAAGACTGCTGTGTCTGTATTGTTTGAAATGCTAATTGCTTTAGGAAGACTGTGTACATAGGACAATTCACTTCACTACAGCTTTTACATTTTGAACATGGATGATTATCTAAGCAAACAGTGCAACCCACACAGTCTGGACTATCAGGTGATAGTACCATGCATACACATGATCTGATCTTAATTCATAAAGAAATATTTTATTCTAATATTTTTCTGTAATATATGTATTTACAGAGATATAGTTTTTAAATATATGACTAGAGTTTGAATTATGGTAAATATGTTATTGTATGATTTGAAGACAAACAATGAAATCCTTAGTTTAAGACATCAGACATTTCAATAGAGAACCAAATGAACATTCAACCTGCTGTGACACTCTATTTGGCTCGGCTAGCCGGCATGTAGCAATATGTGATACTATCGCCTAACACATTACAGTAAGCGCAAGCGCTCTCTCCTCAATGCGGCCCCTCACTCCTGGTTCCGTGTTGCTCATCCCACACGTCATGCCACAGCACCACACTGCAGCTTTTGTTGAGCGGGGCGTGCCCTTGCCCTCAAACACCCGGAGTGCCAGGCTGAGACCTGGACTGCGTGGGCATGCGTAGAATCCAGATCAGGGTGAGAGGGGGCAGCGAGCGTCACAAACTGAATGAGGAGATTGAGGAGAGAGCAGCATGACTTGCCTGGCCTTCAGCCCACCACAAGGGCCACAGAGCCTCAAGAGGGCAGAAGGGCTTCTGCTCATTTGTCATCTCCACCCACACCCCAAGTGTGGCCAAATCACTCAAGAACAGCTGGATGGTGACCCTCGCCCATGCCCACTGCACAGCTGTGGTCCTGTGGGACAACTAAAACTTTATTTTGACGTATTGTGAACACCTATTCTGATGCACAAAGAGTTGTTAAGAGACACCCAAGAGATAATTTGCTTCACTTCTCCTGATTTCTGTTTAGAGATCACAAAGAAACAACTTTAATTCGGTAGGTGTTTACTTTAGAATACAGACCATTTTAAGTAAAGATTTGAAAATAAAAAAGAGATATCACCTGTCTTGTAGAATAGTTCATAAAAACAATGAAGGACACAGTCACTTTTACATGAATAATTACACAGTTAGCATAAGCCACGTCCTGCATTTTAGCTTGTAATAATGCAGAAGTTGATGCACTTACATCATTGTGCATCACTCACACAGCTCTCAAATGCATGTTCAGGAGATATTGTTTCACCTGTGATGCACATTAAATACATAGTCAGTGTGATCAATACATCATCAGATGAGTTATTTCCTGGCCTTTTTCTTCTTTGATTTCTCAGCGTCATCGTGGGCTTTCCTCTTGGCGGCGAGCTTGTTGCCTGAAAGAGCAGAGTGAAAGCAGTTTAGGTATTTCAGAGGTCAGTGAACTCAGGGGTCATCGCTGGGCTTGAATGTACTGTGCACACAGCAGCTTTACAAAAACTGTTCTCAGGCTGAGATAAGATGCCTGATCCGACAGGATAAAATGTAAAGAAGAATGTTCCTTGTACACATGGCTGCACAAACAGACTTATCTACTCATGAATCCGTTATCAATCAATAACAAAAAGGAACATACCTCTCGGACTTTTCTCTTCTTTCCGAACATGATCTTGTCGTAGAGGTACTTTTCCTTCTTCTTCATCATCATGATAGCCAGACGTTTCTCCTCCGCTTTCTCCTCCTGCTCCAAGCGTTCTGGGTTTTCTACCTTTACTTTTCCAGGTGTCACTTTGACCTGCAGAGACTAAAAGGAAATAAATCTTATTGAAGGTTTCACTTCTTGGTAAAAACACGAGGAGAAAGTGATGAAGGAAAATGGACCACAAGCCTCGTACCTTTCCCTGGGATCTTTGTTGTTCCATCTTTTCAGATTCTTCTCCTCTGCCTCTTCTTCTTCATCTTCATTATCCTCCTCTTCATCATCCTCATCATCCTCTTCTTCTTCCTCCTCCTCCTCCTCTTCATCATTGGCTGTAATGGAAGTTAAATAAATATTATGTGCCAAGCCTCTAAACACACCTCATACAGGCTTTATATTCGACTCATTTTCAAGTCTTCACAGATAAAAACAAACATTGTCACCAATCTTAAACACAACGTAACAACATGATGCACATTATTTACACTTAACGAGAAATGCTTGTTTTCTTACCAGGTTTTTCTCCTCGCTGCAGGCCATGATCTTGAGTTTTTCAGGGGGCACATAGTCTCCGTCCTTCTCCTCCACGAAGGGGGAGAGGTGGGGGGGCAGAGTCACTCCCAGGAAGTAGTCCTCCACAGGGAGGAGGATTTTGGCGTTGACACAGTCATACACCCACTGGGGCTGGATGTAGTACCTACAACAAATAGTTTCATATGTAAAGCTATGAAGAAACGCTTTTGATGCACGTTTTTTTGATGGAACACAAATCAAGCAAACATTTCCTGTTTTAATCGCAAAGAGCCAGATGGAGCAGATATGTTTCTTATTGAAAATACTGAGCTATGTTAAGGAAAAGACCAGGGCCTGTAAAACACTATGAAGAACAAAGCTGCTTTGAGAGAAGAAAGCACAAAGACGTTAGTGAAAAAAGACATTGTAGGGGATATGATAAGGCACAAGGAGAAAGGAACACAATCCACCCAGCTCAGATTTCTTGTATTTAGGATTCAGATAAATTCTATGAATGGAACGGTTGAGTAAAAGTCATAATCCTCCTTGTTCTAAAAGAAGACATGTTGTATTGAACTTCCCAGCATCCTTTACCTGTTGATGTACTGTTTTTCAATGCTGGGTCTGTCAACAATCTGATGTGTGATGGTCTCATCCTTCACATCATATGTGCTACCGATGCAAACAGACTTGTCCCAGGACACCTCGCCACCAAAACACCTGGAAGGTAACAGCAATATAGACATTACAATAAAAGTCCATGCATCACTGTGACAAGTAATGATCCTAACAAAAAGGGAATTGAAGCAGCCGTTACTCACCGTATGACAAAAGCCAGAGATTCTCTGGGAGATTCTCTATTGAGGAAGAACTTGAGCCCGACAAAGATCTTTTTCTGAACCTCCTGCTGTTGCTGTTCCTTTTCCCTGGCCTCCATCTTTTCTATGTCCTCCTGGGGAAAAAGAACATTGGCAGTTTTTTTTAATGGTGTTTTATAGCTCATGAATGCTTAGGCACCAGAGGGCAAGACATTTAAAAATGTATTCTGATTGACAATCTCTGCAAAGAACTTTCCAAAGACATTTAATTTAACTGTACTTACAAGAACATCAGGTGTACAGTACAAGTGGGAGTGCAAGTCTATTTACAGTGATATAACACTAAGTTAGAACTCTGGCACAACGTTTAAGGGATACTTCACCCATTTGCATTAAGCTTTGTATCATTAGAAACCTGGTAGTATTTTTGAATGGTCGTGCATCTCGCCCTCATTTTGCCCTGAGATGGGAAATCTTTGTATTTGTAAGTCTGAAAAGGAGCTTCTAGTGATGTAAAATGACGATTTTTGCGTCACTGGAAGCTGTTGCGGTTAGCGGGGTGAAACTACAACGCTAGTTACTCATATTTTCGACCACTGAAGCTACAGACCAATCACAGATCAGTGGTGGGAACTCACTCCCACAATCGAAACTTAACGTCTGTCATATTGCTTGGAAGCTATGCTAACAGGCTCTATGGAGAAAGCTGATAATGGCAAAAAAATATGTACAAAAAAAAAAAAAAAACAGGACCGGCCTGTCAGCAGCAACCGTCTCGCGGCTATATTGCCGCTGCCGGCGGCTGAGACAAAATGCCTGCCTGTCGGCGGCGGTGAGGACGAGGAGCCTGGGCCGGCTCGAGCTGGGGCGGACTGGTAGTGTCGGTGCTCTCACTGTTTGCCTATGGACACAGACATAGAGTCTGTTTTCTGCCAGGAATTTCCAAGATCAATTCTGGAAGAAATCTCTGAATCAGTTGAGGAAATGGTCTCGTGTCTGTAAATGTTTTTATTACTATATTTCTACTGCTATACTTTATATTTTGAAGAAACTGTATCAATCGAATTTCCCTCTGGGATTAATAAAGTATTTCTGATTCTGAACTAGAGGACCTTAGTGGGAGTGGCCTGCGGTGCTGTGCATTCTGGGATTTGGTGTCTTTCATCCACATGAGCCAAAAACACACTTTCTGCCTTTTCACGGCCAAGAAGGCACCAACTTCAACATTTATTTCACATTTCTACTACATATATGACCCAATGTCAATACAGTTCATTTTCAACGAGTGAAGTATCCCTTTAAGGAGAATGATTAAAATGTACACTAATATGTCCTGGAAAGAGGAGCTGACCTCAAAATCAGAACTAGTTAAACCTTGTTGAAATGCCGGTCAAGTCAATGTGTTTGAACAGAGCCAACCCTTGAGAAAATTAAAGTAGTTAGGTAATTCAAGCTTGGAAACATCTTGTGCTTAGTAACCAAGCATGAAGCTGTAGTCCCCAGTCTCACACCTCAAAAAGCATAGACTCCTCTGACAGAGATCCTGACCTCTCACTTCTTCCCTCAGAGACCAATTAGTTTAAAATCGACTTTTGTTTATCTGTATGGTTTGATGACAGATCATGTTAAGATGTCCCCCCCCACATTATTTGAACGAGATGAGATACATTACCCCTTCAACAGGAAACTGGTCGAGTTCAGCCTCCTCTTCCTCTGCAGAAGAAACCACTCGCGCCAAGCTGGAACTCAGAGCCGACAGTTTCTGCACAGCGTACAAACAGAGAGTTAGAACACCACCAAATTGTATTATATACATGAACACTAAACCAGACTATGGTTGCATTTGAGAATAAAAAGAAGAAAAGCTGTTTCTTTAAATCAGTTGATCAGATACATTTTTAAGGCTATGCACACACATGCAGTAGGAGAAGAAAACACATCCAGAGCAGTTTCTGCTTTCAAAAGAATGTCCTGCTCACTCTGAGTGATCTACATGTAATGAGAGGACATACTCCTAAAATACCACAAGCAACACAATCAGTATCCCATCCTCCTGTGTTATAAGCAGGTAAAGGAAGACATCTCAGAAGTGTAGTGGGTTGTGGGCAGATCTCACAAAATAATTAATTACTTAAAAGCCTCACCTCCAAGTAGCTTTCTGAATTCATGGCGTAAGCTCCCTCATCCTCCAGTTGTGACTCTGCTTTGCTGTCCAGCTGCAGAAAGAGACATGACTTTAACAGAGCACCGGTGTGGTAACAGGAGACAACCACAAATCCCTGATCTGTTCATGCTGTATTGTTGTTTACAACTCCCAAATAACACAAATTAAATCTCACTGAAGTTGTTTACTGTTCGATATTTCCGATACTTCAGAATATTTGAAATTTGGAAAATGTATTTTTAGAGTATAAAAAAGACTTTTAATATCACTGTAACAGCTATTGAAAGTTTTGTTTTTGTCTCAACACCTGCCACATGAATCCAGTCCAATACATAATGTGTTAATAGTAATGCTTACCTTTGGCGGATAGATCAGGTTGAGGGAATGGTAGAGTCTGAAATTGACAAACCCCTGGAGAGTGGTGTACATCTCTGTGAAAGTTGCCATGACTCTGTAGTCGACATCTGTTGGATGCTGAGAGGGTACAAAAATTGTTAAACTTGGTTTCACTGACAAAAATGAATTATGACCATTGCATACATTTAAACATATATCATAATCCCTATAACAATTGATTATGGCAGTCAGTCAACTCTATTTAAAAACAATTGACACATAAACATTGACTCCACACTGTCAGCTGCTAAAATTTTTCTTGTTTATGTCACAAACACTGTTGGATGATTTACAATGGGACCAAATGCTGACGGAGCTGTGCGATTAAAATTAATTATTACAAACATATTCACTGTGGACTGCATTTCATCATTCACTTACATCATGGGAGAACTGATATGGCACCAGCCATGTAATGAGCTGCCCCATCACCTCAGCCTGGTAATATATTCCCTTGATGGAGATGAACACCTATCATGAACAGACCAGTGTTTAGTTCATTACAGCACATGATAGGACATTTTACTTGACATGTGAAACAAATAACAATGGCTGCACCTTTTTGAGAGAACGGGATGCAATCACGTAATTCATCCACTCAACAGTGAGACGTCTGCACAGCTGGATTGTCTGAACGTGGCATTTTCCTGTGCGGGCAAACGTGGAGAAGAGGAAGCACATACACAGGGCGTCATCGATATCACGGAGCGCATCGATGAATGAAGGATACCTGCAAAAACAAAAATAAAGGACCACCAGTGAGACAATTTCAGTTTTACCTTTGTAAACTACCACAGTAAAATCGCTACAATATCAAAGTTACCCTTTTGGATGGACGGTCGCCTACAATTATTTAATACATACTAATAGTTTTTGTGTACTTTGATATTTAATGATGTTATCACAATCAAAGGAAATTATTTAATTTTGCATTCAAGCTGGGGATGTGCAGGATTAGCAGAATAACAATTAAACGTTGTCACCCTCGCTAGTTGGAACCAGGGTTATTAGTCAGTTGAACTAATTATTCATATTTGTATCTGTATTATGTCTAAGCAGCCGTCCACTACTAAACAGGGCTGTAGCTCCCGTTAAGGGCGAGTGCCATACTGCCCTACTACAAGGATGTAAAACAGCACAGTGGACGCTTGGCTTTTCACAGTCCAAAGCAGATGGGCAGCATTTTGATTCACAAAATAAGGCTTCATTAATTAAAAACATTTACCCACAGAGGATGTGATCGTGTGATAAGTCATATTAAATAAATTGTGTTCAATTTCAACTGTTTTCTTAACTTAGTAATTGTCTGGATTGTGTTTAATCAACTTTGAAATGAGTGACCTAGGAACATCCTTAGTTATTTATATAAACACATGAATACATAACCCCCCTTTGTTTAAACAAAGAGCCCTTCCTACATTACTCAAGCACCCAATTATTTCTTAACATGGGAAAGTCAGTTCAGCTGAATAATATCCTCCCATGTGGTGTATGGAGCTAAATTATTTCACCTTTCTTTGATGATGTGGTCCAATTTATAGGTCGGCTTGTTCTCCCTTAGTCTCTCCACAGCAGACCATTCTGTTTTTCCATAGGCCCTCTTAAGTTTGCGTACAAATACCTGTTAAGATAAAACATATAGACAAAATGTTCACAATACATACTAATCAGAAAATATGAAAAAATCAATACTTTCACATAACACAGACTCGTTAAAAATTAACAAAAAGGCCAAAACAAACCAATTTCACCTTTAAAAAACACACTTCATTTTCTTGGAGTTAAAAATATCTACTTTCTATGTATTGGAGAAAAGCATATTCACAACAGTAAGACTTTTTAAATCACAGCTCACTTAGGGTCCATCTCCAAAATAACAAAATCAACTTCAACCTATAAACAAGTTTGAACAGAAGTGTCGAATAGGAAATCTACAAAGGGTAAAATGTGTCTTTAATACCTTGTAGTCTCTGAACTTGCCAACGATTGGCTCGTGCAGCAGAAAGCGGATGTCTTTGAGCAGGTAGAAGGTCCTCGCCGCTGTAGAGCCCTTGTTAACCTTTTTCTTGTGCTTGGGCTCATGAGGGTAGATGCCTTTAAGGATGCACAGTCGCCTGAAAGTCAGAGAGAGATCAAGGATTATTGATCATCTACACATCTACTTTTGGTGGTCTATTTTCCACTGGGCAACCTGATGAGGAAACATGGAAAAACTTCTCTTACTCAACGTATTTTACCTCCATCTATCCATTGTAGGCACAGCTTATTTGAATTCAAACCGTATCCACTAAATACTTTCTAATTAAGATCAATCTGATTTTTTATTATGAATTGTTTTACAGGGGCGCTGGTGGCACAGTGGTTAGTGCGCACACCCCTTGTATGGAGGCTGTCGTCCTCCAAGCGGGCGGCCCAGGTTCAAATCCCACCTGTGGCTTCTTTGCCGCATGTCATTGCCCACTCTCTCTCTCTCTGATTTCCGACTCTATCCACTGTCCTATCTCTCAATTAAAGAATAAAAAGCCCAAAAATAAATCTTTAAAAAAAAAATAATAATAATTGTTTTACAGGGAAGAAAGAGATCTCACTGCCCAAGTTACCATCCAACATGAAAAAACACGCTGTGAAAACAATATTAACAAAATCAAAATACAAAACAGTAGCTGTGCAGAAATAAAAGGTGAGAATGGTGAACAGGGGTAAATTGTCCAGACATATCCTATTTAAATCGATTTGGCAACACAATATATATTGATATAAATCATGCAGAAAGTTGTCACAGAAAATGTTTAGTCACCTGAAATCTGGGAGGCTCAGAGATAACTTCTTACGAGCTTTGTTTCTTGTGATGTAGTTGGTGGCAGATCCCCTCTCAAACTGGAAAAAGGAAAACAATTTGACATTAAACACCCACAAGCCACATGATTTTAATTCCTGGTCTGCTAACATGTAAACAGATCAACTCAAATGCTCATCAGAAGCGAACAGATTGTGCTGTTATAGAAAACAAACCACAGCTAACAGAGCTTCGTCGGCTAACTACGTAGCCATGAAAAACTCTCTCGGTCTTATTGTGGCTTCAAATTAACCCGACATCAACTCTGACCTTTTTCTTTTGAAGACCTCCCATTCTCAAACGGTGTGTGACTCTCCGGACAGGTTAAGGAGATTTAATTGTCTAAATTAAATCTTCACATGGGTTAGCTGCTCTGAAAACACACTTCAACATCGATGCACGTGTCGTTGACATGCGCGGAGGAGGAGGAGGTGCGAGCTGTAGTCAGGACCTTAAAGAGCGGTCGGCCGTGGTCCGCCTGTATAAAATGAAAGCAAACAAAAATACAAACACTGTTATCCATTAAAATAGTTTTGCTTGTTCATATTTTTTGTAAGAAAGTATTTATTTCGTTCAGTTATTTGAAGTGCCGTATTTACATAATTATAAACGTTAAAATTAGTCGTTTTTTATTCATTTATTTAACCAAAAATATATTATTTTTCTAACCAAATATTGAATATTTGTACAATTTTAACTTGGAAAGACTAATTTATATTTATGATAAATAGTTGAAAATGTCAAATTTGAACAAAAGTCTCAGTTTGTGTGTGTGTGTGTGTGTGTGTGTGTGTGTGTGTGTGTGTGTGTGTGTGTGTGTGTGTGGGTGGGTGTCTTGTCAAGGACCATAAAGACAAAATAATCTCACTAAAATTACATGAAATACATTTCATGTTTCGGGTTTCAACCACTTCTGAGCCCCACCCCCTTCGCTTCATGCTCTCTAGCTGATGTCAGGATGCTTTAGAGAGATGCTGGCTGGAGCTGAACAGGAGCAGAGACTCGGAAAGAAAACTATTAGAAACATAAAAAGCTTGATTAAGACAGATCATTTTATTTAGAATTAGGGTTTCAATCTTGGGATATGTGTGAGCCATCGAATCAGTTCACCATGGGCCTACGGGACTTTATAAAGGATTATTTTCTCAGTTTCTGGGACTATGAGACACCAAAGGTGATGGTGGTTAAAAACAGAACTCTTGGAATTATTTACAGAGGCGTCCAGTTTCTTGTGAGCACCTATTTCATCTGGTAAGCTTCATGATTTAATTTATTGCATGCCAATGATCTTTAAGGAACAATCTCTGAACTTGAGAGGTTAGAATAAAAAAAAAGTATTTTCCCTGCAATATTTTTCTCTGTGGAAAAGACTGTTTAATGTTTAAAACAATGTACTGCTACTTTAAATTCTAAAACCCACAAATTTTTGTTTTGTGGGACTGAAATGCTTCCCAAGTACAGTTAAGTGCAAATAATATATTTTCAAATATAATAGTCTATCAGTCTATAATATGACATGTGATTTGAACTGAGAAGATCAGTGTTCAGTAACAATATTTTACTATTAATCCGACTGTTTTAAATCTTAAACTACTTCTTGGATTAGATGGATTTTCGAACTGCAGTGCATCATGTTTTCTTCCATCTTGGCCTCAGCGATACCCTCAATTTAACTTGATGCCATGACAGAAAATGTGATATTGGGTTTGTCTGCTCTATCAAACTGAAGGTATGTCTTCATAAGTCAAAAAGCCTACCAAGAGAGTGAAAACCGTCTAGAGAGCTCAGTTTACACACTCATGAAAGGCTCAGCAGTTCATGGAGATGATGTCTTGGACACTGTGGAGTATGCTCAACCCTCAGAGGTGAGTCAAAAACAAATGCTGCAATTCAATTAAGATACACTATACACTGTCTATTGTATTATGTCTTAACAATAGAGTTACTTATGGTATGCTTCTCTACCTCAAAGGGTGGCGATGTTATTAGCGCAATACTGAGGCGAGAAGTTACCTATGATCAGAAGCAAGGAACCTGTGCAGAGGTGAGAAGTCAACAAACGGTTTTGAATATACTGCAGCTGTATGCAATGAACGATACAAATATATCAGTAACATAATCACCTTTGTTCTCCAAAGACTGAGCATCTGTCTGGTTTAATTTCAGTATTTCAATGTTGCAAACGCCAACTGTACGACAGACTCTGACTGTGTCAAGGGAGACGTGGACTTTGACGGCCATGGTACAGTATTTATTCCTCAACAAAATCTTTCTTTGAGCTTGGTCTGCATTGGCAACAGTCTTTCCTCTGTTTTAACTCTTTAAGGCAAAAGGACTGGCAGATGTGTTCAGTACTACAACCACACCTTTAAAACCTGTGAGATACAAACCTGGTGTCCTGTTGAGGATTATGCTGTAGTGCGGTAAGAATGATGTTAGAATTTCTATTTTTAAACTCAGTTCAATGGCATATGGATGACTCAAGGACTTTAATCTTTCTGCTCTTTAAAGAAAAAGGATAGAAAAATCTCTTATTAGCTGAAAGGTTGTACAGCATATTGAGACAAACGTTAACAAGCCCCCACCCATGGTGAGACAAAATTTGTCTGGATTGGTTCAGGAAAAAAATATAGACTAGCTGTCAAAACAGTTTGACAGCCCCTCATGCTCCCAAGAAACTTTGAAATATCAAGAGCTCAGAATGCTCTTTTAGCTTCTATAGGAGGTACAGCACTTTAACAAATCAAGTAAGTACAGAGTTAGTACACAGTCAAAAGTAAAAAAAGGTGTAAATGTTATTTGTTTCTTCAACAGTGAACCACCATTAGTGGAGGCCATTAATTTCACAGTATTCATCAGGAACTCCATCCACTTTCCCAGATTCAAAGTGCTGAGGTACACACGCACGCACGCACGCACGCACGCACACACACACACTGTAACTGCAGAGATTCTGACTAACTCCCGCTCTTTTTGTTTTCTTGGCGTAGGGGAAACATCAAAGATGCCTCAACCAAACGCGAAGTACGCAAATATCTCAACAGGTGTCATTATGATGAAGAGAAAGATCCCTACTGTCCGAACTTCCGCCTGGGCTACATCGCAAAGCAGGCGAGGGAGAATTTCAGTGAGCTCTGCAGGACTGTACGTATGGGTTTTGCAAGCAACATGTTCTAATGTAAATGTATGTGTGTTTATGAATCTCATGAAGATTCCTGATGTAAAAATGTATACCCACTTAAAGAAGATGGTGTTTGGACTCAGCTCTATTGAACTGAACTGTACAAACTGACTGTATGATGTTATGAGGATGGCCACACGTGTTAAAATGTCCTGTTTTGTATTGCATTGCATAAGTTATGATCATAGCAGGGTTTTTTTCCTCAGGGAGGAGTGATAGGAGTTTTTATCAACTGGAAGTGTAACCTGGACTTGGATCCTTCAAATTGTAAACCATCTTATTCTTTCCGCCGTCTTGATCTTCGAAAGGATCAGGCCAGCTCTGGTTATTATTACAGGTGAGCCCATCTTTTTTATGTATCTTTACCAAACATTTGATGCTTTATACTTTAAAGTGTTTTTGTTGCATTGGTTTGTATAAAGTTTTAGAGCACTAACTGTTGTGATGTGTATTTAATTTTTCCAGGTTTGCCAAATATTACATGAAGGACCAGGTAGAGTCTCGGACACTTATCAAGGCCTACGGCATGCGCCTGGACGTCATAGTTCATGGAAATGTAAGTGAATACACCTACATTACTACAGCTTACTCTCTATTCACTTTGATTAACACGCTATATTTCTTTAAGGCTGGTAAATTCAGTCCCATCCCCACCATCATCAGCACAGTGACTGCTATGACTTCAGTTGGGATTGTGAGTAACTATCTGACCTTCAGAATGTTAAAAATCAGCAGCGATGATCTTTGTATAACATAGTGTAAATCTGTTTTCTTATAATTCATCCCTCTAGTGTACCATTATCTGTGACTGGATCATGCTTACATTTATTGACAAGAACGAGGTCTACAGTGACAGAAAGTTTGATGAGGTGAGTAAACTCTTGTTCAATCTCAGCACATGTTGGTACTTCTATATGCTCAGGGCAGCCTGAAGATACTGACCGATCTAGTTTTCACAAAGAATAGCCAGCGAGATGATTGTCATTTGCGACAATATCTTTTTTGAAATCACCTCACCCAATGGTACACATTTTTTTTTAAAAGGAAGACATCAAGGTGATAATCACCATACCAGCTTACAAGCAAGCAAAGACATCAGGTCAGTTACTTGTGGCAGCTGTGGTAGAGTCAGTCGTCTCTCAACCAGGAGGTTCAATCCTCAGCTCCTGCAGCCATATTTTAAAAGGTCCTTGGGCAAGACACTGAGCTCTGAATTGCTCATGCTTCTACACTATGTACGTGTGAATGTAGTTCTTTTGGGCAATCGAGCACTTTTCATAGTAGCCTTTGCCTTCAGTGTGTGAATGGGTATGAACATGAAGTATAAAAGTCAGAGGACAAAGGAAAGTGATATACAAGTCACAGTCCATGTACCATTTTTCATGCAGTTGCTTTGTTCTCCAAGTCCTGGTATTGTGTGTACTGTCTCACTCAGTTAAGGCTATCTGTCCCCCGCAGATTGTCAAGGAGCCCAAAGTGCCCATTACCACAGAGCTCAGCTTCATCAACAGCTACGGCTCAAACCATTCAGACCTGTCAGAAGGTGTACCTCTTTAACATCGTCACAGTTGCCTCCAGTCGCAGCTGGCCAAGCGTTTGGACTCTCCTCAACCAGCTGACTGTGGACACAGCTCTCAGAGGTTTATCAGATCAGTTATGGACTGCCAGCGGCTGCTATAATGTGGTTAGAAGGGATGAACTAAACTGGAGGAGCACAGAGACAGAGGATCGCCTGAAATCATAGCTGGTATGCAGATAATTAATTTGATATATCATGTCATACCTTGATGGACTCCAACTCCACTACAATGTATCTGATTGTTTTTCTTTTCCAGTATGTAAAGAAAATAAAATGCCTCATTGCAGAAAAAGTACACAACAAAGAGTACACAACCATTCAAACTATGCTGGTTTATATCAGTGTATAGCAGACATTGAATGCAATGAATGTATCTATTCACTCAAATTTCAGAAATGGACATTCATGTTAAGTTGACTCTTTCTGCTCTCATAAATCTGCCTTAATATTAACATTAAACTTTGAAAAATCTGCATATTACCATTCATTTCAACCTGATATGTTCAGAGGATGTAGGAGGAAACAGCCTGGAGACGCACGAGGAGGGCAAAGAGCAGTAATCTAATAATGCTGCCATTTCCAGTAAAATGGTTTCTCTAACAAGATTGTGGGAAGTGTGAATCCATCTGGACCACTGAGACTAATAAAAATGTCAGTTGGGAAAAAACGATTTAAGATTAAAT